TTTCCATCGAAAATTCAGCTGTTACATTTAGTTTAGCGTATTTTTTTCCCTCGTTCAGAAAGTTAAACTTTGCGACTTATTTTAGCCGAGTGAATGTTCAAGACCAAGAACAATGCGAGAATTTTCTCGTTCTCCGAAATGAAACAATGGCCTCATTGATTCAACTTTACGGCTCGACTATTGAGAAATATCTTTCGGCAAAACACTAACAGAGATTTTTAAGAATATTGGATGAATCGGTCGCTTCATTGGTGAAGAGTTCTTTACTCGACATTCCATCCTTCGTGATATACTTTCTCATGCAGCTTCTCCTGAGGTACGTAAATTTTATTGATGAACTCAAGGTAAACTGCTAACAAATAAGGCACCCCCACCCCCACCCCCCTTAAGATAAGCTCCCTTTTATGTTGTTCACCTTCTTAAGAAACGGAAAACCCCAAATGGCAAATTCTCCGAATACTGTCTATTCCAGAGTCGTAAACACTCGATAGAAAAGATTTTGAAACGAGTCAGATGCATTGAAATCGCTTGCCTACTCAAGTAAACTTGAAGCTGAGTGTTTCATAGCTGTTTCCTAGCCTGGCCGATTGGAAACCAGCTTTCGACCCTCGAGCTCGCGATCGTTAGTTAGCAGTGTTTTCTTGGCGCTCAACTTTTCCTGAGTTTCAGAGGATCGCAATTTTCGGTGGATAAAAATACGATGAAATCCTCATTTTTACCACAATTGCCACTAATCTCGCAATCTGATAGAGCACTGTGGTGACGCATATCGCCGTCGATAAGAGTACAGACAACGCTTAACCACATCCGATTTGTTAATTATCGAACCCTCGAATTTTCGAACCTCTCGATAAGTCATTTCCCTCTCGTCAGTCGAACGCTGTAATTTTACCCCCGATTTCTCCAACTACCCAATTTTTCAAACAAATTTTCGTTTCCTTTGAAGCCGGGTTCGAAAAATTAGGATTACACTGCAATTATAATGTTTTTGTCCGCTGGCTGTATCTATTATTCCATTATTCGTTGCTTTCGATTTGCTATTGCAGTCAAACCAAGTGAAGCGTAGCCCTCAAAATTACATTTATAAATTGATTATTTGAATATTGAACTCGCTCGTCATTTTAAAAATCAATATTAAATTGATTTTTTAGAACATTAAACCCATTAGCCGTATTCTGGGAACGAGCTAGTGGGTTCAATCTTCCAATAATCAATTCAATATTGCATTCTTGAAACGACTAGCGGGTTCAATATTCAAATAATCAATTAATTAATGTGATCTTGAGGGGTACGCTTCACTTGGTTTGACTGTGAAGTCATAAAACTCTGATCGCTACTTTTGGAGGGTCGTAACTTTCTGAACATGTCTGTTTTCTATGTCAAAAATTAGGCCATCAAGCATTAGGAAGATTTATGATTCAAAATCGGTACATTTGCCCGTCAGGGAACTTTCGTATTTAGCAGTTTTGTGAAAATCGGAATGATCCCAAATTAGAATTCACTATTTTACTAGTCACTTGGTACGATCGCTTCAGAGAACAAATATCAGATCCGACTAACATTGAATTCAATATTTTTACGTGAGTTTTCCGCCTGGAAGATGAAATAATCAATAATCTTCAATAACAAATTTGAGTAAATAACGCCGTCGACAGATGAACTCAGTAACCAAAGAATTGCGCTTACATAATAATTTCATTTCTCGATCAAATGGATCAATTCATTTCTTCGTTCTTTAGCTCGACAAGAAGCGTGACCCTAGGAAACCCAACAGAGCTTTCTCGTAGGCTACTTTTTTGATGATAATTTACCCTCTCTCTTATAAACTATTTCTTTGATTACTATCCCAAAGGAAGACTATCTTTTATTCGCCTCCAATGTTTAATCAGTGAAAGAAACTATTCGGCTTACGGGGTGAATTATTACGTTATAATTTGTTTCAGCTTTGGCTAACAGAGCTATTCTTGATAATTTTGAGTACAAATTAATTAATTATAAGAGAGTTATACAGGAACAAATACCAAAAGTACAGAGAACGCAACTTCTAGATATTAGCAGATCTTAATTAATTTATACATGGTACTGAATGTATCGACTCAAACGCGTGGCTAAATAAACTTTGTTCTAAACTGAAACAACGTCACGCAAAATAACTGCATTGTTAGCAGAAAATATTTTATGTTTGGCCGGTAACGCTAACTTTTTTGCACAAATCTTAATTCAAAACTCTTACTGGTCGAGCGAGAGGAAAAAGTTCAGTCAGATTCGCTGGGCGGATGGGCATTTCGCTGCAATCAATATTAAAAAATGTTGATTGTAGTAATATTGCCGATCAGTCAAAGTAATACATTCTGACATGTGATTAGCAAGCCTAAGAACGGTTTCAATCATAATGGTCACCATGCATAGCTTCTTAATTCGAAAAGTATCTTGGTAAGATTAGTTTATTTAATTGAATGGTCAAATAGTCACACCTGGACGTGGATTTTACGGAGAGGTTTACAACCCCCAGCGTTCTTCTCCAAACAGTAAGTTGAAACGTGTCAAATAGAATCTCAGAGGGGAGGGGTTGCCGTGACTATTTTCTAGTTGAAATGAATTCCGTTTAACACACACTGAAACGGGTTTTCTTTTCTAAGTTCCTTACATGTCTGGAAAGAAATCCGACAGATCCAAAGACTAAAACCCTTGGAAAATAGTTTCCCCCGCATTTTAAGCAGGACTCGTATGTTTCACGTATGCCAATTCTTTGAGGTATGTTTCCCGCTGCCCTAGCTAGCCCCCCACCCTCTTTCCCTCAGTCATAGAATGTACCTTCAAACACAGTAAGATTGTAAATAACTTGTGCGAGATTTTTCGAGATTTTGAAAACAATAGGACAATTCATTTTTATTGATGTTTTTCTCCGGCGACCTTTGTCATTTCCTCGAGCCTCTGTTAACTGAGGAAATAAAGGACTTCAAGAAGACCTTCGTTCAGGATGATGCGTTTCTTGGTAAAGGTTTTTATCGTGGCATCGGCGATGCTACTCTCTCGCGCAAAAGAAACTGCTTCAAAGGTATGAATTATTTCAATAATGCTTTACAATCCTGATATCACGCACATTTCAGACACGTTTCTTCGCCCAAATGAAACGGCTTTCGATTGCACCAAAACTCGCAAGCTTTCTTTCACGCGCGTATAAAACGGGAGCATTTTCGTTTCCAAGATTTTATCATTCCGGCTTAAGAAAGATAAAGTAATCGGCAATGCGAAAAATCAAATCCGTAAAATCTGTGGCAACCGTTTTTATTTTATTTTTATTATTATTATTATTTTTCTCGTCGTTTTTGTTTGGTTTTGAATACGCTATAAGAAGAGTGGTATAGAGAGACAAAATTTCTTGCTTCGGTTGAACATTCAGTTGAAATCAGTAAAATACAAATTTGAAACTCAGCCCAACACATTGTTTTCTTTACTTATATTTTACGGATATTAGAACCATCATAATTTCACAAGAAATGTACTTTTTTTTCTTTTCTCTATGTGTAAACTGATAATGAAGATATTGAATCTACGGAACATTTCAGGGGCCTTTTAAGCGTCGGTAACCAAGAATATTTTTTTTGTTTTTTTTTTTTGCGATGATTTTCTTATTCGTAAATTTTGTTTCAAGAAAAAGGCTCACCCGGCCCACAAAAGAAGAATTGGTACGTTTTATTACTCCATTCTAAAAAAGGCACAAATGAATTTCTGTGATTGTTAGCTTACTTGAGCTGCTTGGCTTTCTCGAGATGCTTGACGTACTTACTTGAGTTGCTTGGCTTACTTGAAGCGCTTGGCCTTCTAGAGCTGCTTTGCTTACTTGAGCTGCTTACCTTACTTGAGTTGTTTGGCTTACTTGAGCTGCTTGGCTTACTAGAGCTGCTAAGCTTACTTGAGCTGCCAGGCTTACTTGAGGTGCTTTGCTTACTTGAGCTGCTTTGTTCACTTGAGCTGCTTGGCTTTCTTGAGCTGCTTTGCTTCTTGAGCTGCTTTGCTTCTTGAGCTGCTTGGCTTACTTGAAGTGCTTGGCTTACTTGAGCTGCTTGGCTTACTTAAGGTGCTTGATTTACTTGAGGTGCTTGGCTTACTTGAGGTGCTTGGCTTACTTGAGGTGCTTGGCTTATTTAAGCTGCTTGGCTTGCTTGAAGTGCTTGGCTTACTTGAGCTGCTTGGCGTACTTGAGCTGCTTGGCTTATTTGAGGTGCTTGGCTTACTTGAGGTACTTGGCTTGCTTAAGGTGCTTGGCTTACTTGAGGTGCTTGGCTTACTTGAGGTGCTTGGCTTACTTGAGCTGCTTGGCTCACTTGAGGTGCTTCGCTTACTTAAGGTGCTTGGCTTATTTAAGCTGCTTGGCTTTCCTGAAGTGCTTGGTTTACTTGAGCTGCTTGGCGTACTAGAGCTGCTTGGCTTNATCATGAAACCTCTTGTAAGACTTCCCATTAAACAAAACGTACAAGCATCATAAAAATTCAAGGCCTGTAACAACTACCACATTCAGTTTAACAGTCAATCATCTAATTTTGCCAAGTGAACCTTAAAATTGGAACATTCATTTTAAAAATGTGGTAAATCAGTTTTATATCCAAAATAATCGGACTCATTACACATTGCGTAACTGACAAAGATTAACATATCCAGATTCCAAATGAAAGCTATGTTTATAGCTCAAGGTAGCTAATTGATGTACTGTTACTTCCTTTAATTAAGGATGTTTTTAATTGAATAGCCCATAAACTCCCATCGGCTTAGTAAGATCTCAGGACTTTATATGAATTTCAAATGTAATCAGAAAATTGTAGCTGCATTTCATATAACAGCTCTTCCAGATTGGTGTTCTTTCCAGATCAGTTCCAGTTCCTAGCAGACACTCAGATCTGTTGCAGAATTTACTAACGTTTGTTGTGCATCTAGATCTATGTACATGATTACATGATGCAGGTGCACTGTAAAAACAAATCACGAATGTTGTTTCTTTCTTACTTTTGAGTGGGCAATTCTCAACCTTGTTATTGTGCTATATAATTCTCAGGTTTTTCCAGCAAACAAGGACAGAAATACAGTCACTGAACATCTACTCGTGACAGCATTCAGTGCTCGACTCATTCGATTTCACCCCAAGACCTACCATGGACATACGTCTATGAGAGTCGAAGTGTATGGCTGCAGAAATGGTATGTGTGTTAATCCTGTATATATGCTAGCACATGAACTGCGTTAGATCCTAAAGAAAGCTGGAGGTATCGTAAGAATATTGCGGCCTTCCATATTCCAAAACGCTCTTTGAGATTGATGGAAAAATTTGGGTTATTCCTTAATTGCTCCGATTTTTGACTTATTTTTTTGGTTAAAAATATCTCTAAGTCATCGGGTCTGGGCAATGTTATGAGCAGGTCATTGAATGAGTGAGAGATGTATGTATGTTACACCAATCAGATTAGGGCTACTAAAGACAACCAATCAAATTGCTGCTTGTATAGGTGAATCATGTGTGTGAAGATTTCATCTCGATTTTAGAACGGCTGGACGTCTTTGTTTTTCTACAAACAGAAACAGGCCGATGGCGACGCCGATGGCACGTTTACTACGGTTAAGCTAGTAGGCTAGTTTGCGGCGGCCTTTAGTTTAGGCTTTAAGGCGATACAGTGGTTCTTTCGCTTTGAAACAGATTCCTTGCGTAGTTCAAAGAGGTAAACTTACGTCATAAAGTAACAAAACTTTTCCTGTAACTGAGTTTTTGTCACCAAATAGGCTCTGTACATCGTAACGAAACAAACTTGATTGATTAGCCTTATCATAACTGTTAAGAGTCCACTGAGTGCTGCTACCTCCAGGGGCTTTGAACTCACAAAAAATTAACTCTTGCATGCCTTGCGTGCCTATGTTTATATTTGGCCACAACCAAGAGCATCAGTAGATATTGCTGTTTTCCTATAATTATTTTTGCATATGAGCTCATATTTGCTTAAAGGAAATTGTGAAGACACTTAAACGACACTAGCCAGCCTCCGCCATTTTCGATGCCATCGAAATTACTGATCATTTGATCGTGAAGGTGAAGCCAAATCTTGTCGCGTTACTTTAAGTTGTGTTCCTGAAAGTATGTTTGATTATCTTTAGCGGTTTCACAGTGATTTCCTTCGTTTCGACATGTTTCGAATAAACTATAATAGCCAAACTCTCGCATATAAACAAAAACAAAGGTGTGGCTGGCTAGAGTCCTTTGAATATGAAAGTAAATTAAATGGTTTATGGAGAGTTTGTCACTCAAACATGACTTAACTATGGTATATAGATATTATCTTTGAGTTTTAAGTGGATAATGGTGGATCAGAATTGCTTGTCAGAGATATGAGCTTATCGCAGTATTTTTTTTAGTTCACAGTTGTTCAGTGTCACTCGGTATGGAAGACAAACGCATCCCTGACGGTGCGTTTACAGCTTCTGGTAGTCATGACAACAACCACAGACCTTCGCTTGCAAGACTGAACATTTTGTCTGATGGCAAACATGTTGGTGCCTGGTGTCCAAAACATAAAAGCACTAATCAGTGGCTCCAGATAGACTTGGGAGAAATCACTGCAGTTACAAAAGTGGCAACTCAAGGCCGGTACAACACTGAGGACAGGGTTAAAACGTACACGCTTTCATACAGTGTGGATGGAATGCACTGGATTAGCTACAAACAACGTGCTACTGAAAAGGTAAGCTACATGTAACATTTCTGAAATGTCCTCTAGTGTGAAAAATCCTCCTTATATATTAAGTTACTTATGCATATATCATAAAATTTACAGAATTTAGACATGATCCAGAAAAAAATATGCGCAGAGACCAACCACAACAGTATCAATGTACAGTGGCGAACTGAGGAACATCCGATATCTGCTTTTTAGCATAGTTTAAACTGATATAAATAACAAGTTGCCCAAGTTATTTTAAATGTAAAAGCAGTTTTCTTCTCGATATCACTGTTGTTTTGAAAATTCTGATCAATATGACTTGGTAATATGTTTACTACTGGAAGATCCCCGACCCCCTTTTCACCCCCATTTAAGGTGGCCGAACACAGTTTTCGCGCGCGGTTTTGCTGATGCAATTCAGCGCGCGCACAAGGATTGCAAAAAACAAACATGCCGTCAGTAGAGCGATCATTTTATTTACTCAACACCCGCAGTATCTGTGCTATTTTTCTCTATAATTGAACGCAACGTTTTGATGGCTTTAGTCTTTTATTGCAAAGATATGTAAGAAAAGGTAACGATGTAAACAACCCAGCAATTTTCAGCTTTTTCTTTCTTACGGAAAGAACCCAGTTAAATGCAGTGCATGCGTAGTAAGTCAAAAAATTGCGATTGAATGAAAATTGCACTCTCGGAAACACGCCTATTTCTCG